GCAGTGTCTGACTGTTTAGATGTTGAACAGGCAAATGAAGCCAGCCCAGGGCATGCTCACAGTCATCTGTCCCATTGGACCTGGATGTCGGCTCACCTCTACCATCACTGAGTGTGCGTGTGTGTCCTGAGGAGGAACAAGTACCACTTCCAGGACCTTCCCTGCTGCAAACAGTGACAGTGGTTTGTGACTGCTGTCTCTACAGCCCTGGCAGCCAAGGCCTTCTCATCCAGGCAAGCAGTGAGAAGCTGCTGCTGAAGCTGTGCCTTGGTGGCTGCCGGCTGGCCTGTCAGCGGCCACTACTTCCCAGCAGGTACTGATGCCTCACGTCAGCCCCGAGGGCTGGGCTGTCACTGCTGCTTCAGGGTGACTCAAGCTGGAGACCCTGGCTCTCGCTCTCTCTCCACAACTGAAAAGAGTTCAGGGGGCTAACACAGGGGCTGACAGCCATTTTCTTCTTAAAAGCAAATAAATGCATGAGGCCAGGTGTGGTGGCTCATGCCTGTAATCCCAGCACTTTGGGAGGACAAGGCAGGCAGATCACTTGAGGTCAGGAGTTTGAGACCAGCCTGGCCAACGTGATGAAACCCCATCTCTATTAAAAATTTAAAAAAAAAAATTAGTCTAACATGATGGCGGACGTCTGTAATATCAGCTACTCAGGAGACTGCAGGAGTCTGAGGCACAAGAATCGCTTGAACCCAGGAGGTGGAGGTTGCAGTGAGCCGAGATCATGCCACTGCACTCCAGCCTGGGCGACAAAGTGAGGCTGTTCCAAAAAAAAAAAAAAAGCCAATACACAAGAAGCCCCTACTTCTCTTTTCCTCCCGCTTCTGTCTCTGGTCAAACCCTACCTGGCAGTGACTTGAGCAGGAAAGAGAGGACCTGTGGAGCATCCAGTGGGAGCCTCTGCATCAGGCCAGAGAAGACAGAAAGAGTGAAGCAGGAACCCAGACCTTTCCATCGGCAAGGTACAAACCATGTCACTGCACTAAGGGCATGACAGAGCCAGCCAGACCCAAGAGGTTGATGTTCCCGTGATGGGGTGAGGAACAATTTTCCTGGGACTTCTAAATATTGAGAGTAGCTCAGGAATCTCTAATTCTACTTTAGAGAACCCTGAGTTGGAAGCCAGAGGTCAAACCCAACACGATCTCTTCGAGTTGCCAATTGGTAAATAAGAAGGCCGGGCGTGGTGGCTCACGCCTGTAATCCCAGCACTTTGGGAGGCCGAGGTGGGTGAATCCCCTGAGGTCAGGGGTTCAAGACCAGCCTGGCCAACATGGCGAAAGTGTCTCCACTAAAAAAGTACAAAAATTAGCCGGGCGTGGTGGCAGGTGCCTGTAATCCTAGCTCCTCAGGAGGCTGAGGCAGGAAAATTGCCTGAACCTCCCAACTCAAGGTTGAACCTCCCAATTCAGAGGTTGCAGTGAGCCCAGATCGTGCCACTGTATTCTAGCCTGGGCGGCCAGAGCAAGACTGTCTTCAAAAATGAAAATAAAAAAAATAAGCCAAGCCCTTTCAGGAACTGGGGTCTCTTGCCAAAGAAAAGAAATGTATTGAGAATATGTAGACACTCCCCGACTTACAAAGGGGTCATGTCCCAATAAACTCATCGTAAGTTGAAAATGCCGTAAGTCAAAAATACATTTAATACCCCTAACCTACTGAACATCATAGCTTAGCCTCGCCTAACTTAAATGTGCTCAGAGCACCTGCATTAGCCCACAGTGGCCAAAATCACCTAACACAAAGCCTGCTTTACAGCAAAGTGTTGACTATCTCATGTCATATATTCAATGCTGTACTGAAAATGAAAAACAGAATGGTTGTGTGAGTCCTTGAAGGAAAGTGATAAGCATTTCTACCGAATCCCTGTCACTTTCACACCATCATAAAGTCAAAAAAATCATAAACTGAACTATTATAAGTTGAGGACCATCTGCATTCTAATTCCAGAAGTTGAGCGGAGGAGTTGAGCTGGGACTAGGGAGGCAAAGGACAACGAGCTTCCTGAGGTCATTAAATTAGAGCGTATGGGCTGCAGCTCGCCTTGCCCACCAAGGCTGGACTGGCCTTGCTCCGGATGCTCCTCTAGGCTAAGTTCCAGAACCCAGTAACCAGAAGAAAAATCTCTGGGCAACAGGTGCTAAACGTTAAGATCTGGCCACAACCACTGTGTCCCAGTTCACCTCTCTACTCTGTACACAGGGCCAAGGGCGACCGGGCAGTGCCCAGATCTTTCTCAGCTGGCTCTCAGCTACCTGGTAGTCTCTGGGCTGCAAAGGAGAGGTTCCAGAGCATTGCCTTCCATCAGGAGGGCTTGGCTCCAGCACGCCCTGAGGAGTGCTGTTACTCTTTTTGTTAGCTTTAGGAGACAAGAGTCTATATCACTGCTATCATTAAACTCAGCAAAAATGAGATGGCTAAATCAATAGCCTACCAAGCTTTGCTGACGGCTTTAAGAAGGGACCACTGCAATGTCAATATTTTTGTGTCCAAAACGACATTTATTTAATCTGGCTTCCTTCTTGCTTCTGTGGAATATCGAGTGTTGCTGCTGAGCCAGCCCAGAACAAAACAGAGGCGCGGGGAAGCTTGTTCCCTGAGCTCCTGCAGGCAGCTCACTCTCCCTTCGTACACCAACACCCTTTCCCAGACCGCTCGCCTGTGTCCACAAGCTGAAAGCTGCTCTTCCTTGGGGTCCAGCTTTTCATGTGGGGACCCAGATTCAACCAACTTCTTGCCAAGCAGCTATCCTGGTCCAGAATCAGGCTGGATGCCTCTATATACATGTCTCTATTTAACCCCTGTAACCAATACATAAAATAGGCATAATCCACGTTTGCAAACAACAAAAGCAAGACAGGTTCTGAGGCTTACAGGGACACCAAATGCAAACCGGGAATTTAACCCAGGTCCTCCTCCACCCACACCTTGGTTCATCTCTGATGGCGAAAGTTTAAGCACAGCCAGTAAGACGGTTTTGGTAAGGAGCAACCTAGATCACGTTTACAGAAGCATTTGGCAAGCTGTACAGCTCAATACAGAGAGAGATGTAACTGCACCGTGCTGATCTCTGCCATCTCCTGCACAGAAGCACCGAGCCCAGAAAATACATTCATCCATCCATTTGGTGCAATTAGTCATCTACCTGTCTGGGTTGAGGGTGTCATGCTGGGCGGTTGGCAAGAAGGCTCCTTCTCTTTGCCTAAATCTCATTAACCATAAAGGCTCATGGGTTCTGTGCATCTCAAATCTCCCGGCTTTCTCTCCATCCCAGGGCCCTCCCCTGAGGCTCCATCATCTCTCACCTAAATGCCTGGTCCCCTGGTGACCCTCTCTGTCCCTGACAACTCTCCACACTGCCAGCTTTCTAATGGCTGCATCTGAGCCTGTCACACCTGGGCTTAAAGCCTTTCCACAGCTCCCACTGTTCTCAGCCTGAACTTCCAGCTCCTTGGCCTGGTTCTCAAGGTTGTGATCTGACGGTCACCATGGCCTCCAGACCTTCACCTTCACCCTCTTTGCACCAGCTCAGTGGACCACAAGCATCCACAGGACACATCTCCTGCTTCTCTTTGCCAGGTGAACATCACCACCTTCCGCTGTTAGCTTCGACATCACCTGCTCTGGATGCCTCACTTCTCCAGGTTCAGCTAGTGACCGTCCCAGAGGGCTGCTCAGGGCCCTGTGAACACTGCTGCCACTCCTTACTTGCAATCACACTCACTCTTCTGGGGTCCCCACTAAATGGTCAGCTCTGTAAGTGCAGGGATTAGGTCTGTGTCGTCCATGACTATGTTCTAGGGGCCTGGCACAAGTATTCAGTCAGTCTTTGAGCAAACAGACATTTGTTTGTGCGAGCACCAGTGCTGGCCCCATGCAAAGCTGGCAGGGCTCTGCCGCTGCTCAGAAGCCACCCTTTATCACGTGCCCTTGGCCGTGATCAATCCTGACCCTACAGCCACAAAGTCTCTCTTGGTCAATACCGTGGGGAGGCTCTCAGGGACCCCACTCTAGCAGGACCTTAGACAGAGGGTGGCTCAGACTCAGGGCACCATCTCTGGGACACAGCAGCTGCAGGATGGGGACCTGGAGGTTGATGCTTCGGGACAATTCTGTGTGGACCTGGCCACTCCCTTGAGAGGGAGGGAGATGGAGCTCCACAGGCAGTGGGGTTTTGAGATGCCCACCTCTAAACCTCCAACTGTGGTCAGACCCCCATGCACATCCACCCTCACGCCTGCCTCCACCCTGGGGACGTGAGCACGGTGAGGACCAGCGAAAGGGGAGTTCTGAGCTTCTCATCTGCAGCTTGTCACCATGACTGACAGCCAAGGAAACCCCACACACCAGGACCCCAACCAAGGCCACAGGAAGGCGGCAATGTCAGCGGCCCAGCCAGCGGCTCTCCCCACTCGCAGTTTTAATGGTCTTCCCTGCTAACCATCCTCATCTGGATTTTGTTCCTTCTTTGAGGCTGTCCCAGAGTCAGCCTGAAAGGGCCAAGCCACACTGTGAGGTCCCTTCAGTCCTAGGAGACATCAAACTCAAATGGACCCTGGGAACGTCAAAGGGACTGGGAAGAAGACTGTTCCTGAAACTGACAGCCCCGCCCCTACAGGAAGCCCCTTCCCCTACTGGAAGCTGCTAATGACTTATTCCATACCCCTCCCCACGATACACTAGGGGCCCAGCCACGGTGTGGTGGGTGACGGGTACAGAGAAGGCTCCAGCACTGTGACTGACCCCTGATCCGGCCTGTTTCAAGGGGGAACGTTAGCATTCCTCAGGCACCCAGAGTGGGCTGAGACCCTCCCCACACCAGCAGATCTGCAACCTGGGCCCCCGAAAGAGATGAGGTCCCCCTGGGGGTGTGTCTTGGATGAAGGGTAGGAGTGGTATCTGACCTCCCTCTGGGTCCCTCACACCAACCATGACATAAGTCACAGTTTTGGCTTAGTGAACAAAACTCACCACTGAGAGACAGCCTGCTGTGCTTTTGACACTTTATTGGTTATTTAAAAACATGCTAAAAACATGGTGTTCCATAAAGCCAGGACCAGGATGAAGGAATGCACAGACATGGCATTGCAAGCAGAAAGTGCATCTGAAACCAACAAACGTGCTTGCCCTGCTCTCCCGTGCTGCCCAGGGGCAGGCAGGTGGGCATGGCGTGGGCAGGAAGCCCCAGGCCTCACCTCCTGAATGCCCAATCAAGGCGGGGAGGCCAGGCCCCACCCTGGACTACTCCTCACTGCGGTGGGGGGCACGGGAACATAGGGGCCGGCCGGCCAGATTCGGAGAAGCTGAGGGACGAAAAATGGACCCCAGCACCTCCCGTCCAGCTCCCATCCTATGCCACGTCCCTGCTAGTTAGCACCTCCACCAGTGGGTGGGCAGGGGCTGGAGAGGAGGGGACAGCCACTTCCATACACCTGGACTGCTCTTTGGCCACCAAAGCCTGGAAAGATGGCCACCTAGTTCCAAGTCAAACCGGACATCTGCAAGAGGATCTGCGGCAGGGCCGTCCTTCCAGAGAGCCCGAGATGCAGGTCCATGCTGGAGGGAGAGGGGGGCGACACGGCTCAAGCTGGGGGAGGGGTACAGGGGAGACTTGCACCCCGACACCTGCTGCCGCCACCCAAGGGTAGTTCTCAGCCTGTGCCTGCTCATCCCCGCTGCAAGACGGCTGCAGAGAAAGGCTGAGACTGCAGCAGACGCTCCCCTGCAGTCCTCGGCCAACCCTGAGGGACTTTCTGAGACACGTCTGTAAATTGCTCACTTCAGACCCGATCGAACTAACTCTGGCAAAGGAAGCCGCGAGTGAGGGAATTCTCTCAGGGGAATTCTGCCCCAGTGAGATCACAGTCAGGAGAAACTGAAGAGAGGCTCTGCCACCTTCACAGGCATGGCTAGGTGTGGCCCTCCGAGTAGAAGGGGCTTGGAGGAACACCCGTTCCGTGCACAGAGATTGCCGCCCAATGTAGACTTAGCCAAATAATGAAACAGCCGAGCACAGAGTGAGTGTAGAGGGCAGCGTGGGGACCTGTAGACCAGGCTCTGCAAACAGAAGAGGTGGGAGCTGGTGGGAGCACTGTGGCAAAGGCTCTGGGGCCAGAGGCCACCCCTGAAGCCCTCCAGAAACAAAAGATTTTCAGGGAGGTTGCACATCTCCCAGTGCACTAGGCTTTTGCTGTTGATATTAACAAAAATTAAAAATTGCATTGATAGGCATAAACAAACCCACCCACCCCACCCACAGCAAAAACAAGCACGAGGCCCCAGGTCCCACCGCGCAACTGAACACTCGTGTGCTTAGTGTCTCTCCGCCGGGGTGTGTCTGCTCCACAATCCACACTTTGGGGGTTGTTCCCGGGGAGGCAGCTGAAGCTCCTTACCAGGAAGCCGGGCCAGAAGACAAGGAAAGGGCAGCTCTGCTCAAATGTGGGCTCCCCACGTTCCATCGGCACCACTGCCCCGTCTCAGGGAAGCGGTCTTTACCCTGCACGACTTGCAGGACCACCCTCCTCTCCACTCCCACCCCCGCAAAACACAAACCCTGATCACGCCAACAGTTCTGCCCCCCTGGTCCCACTGCGTGTGTTACCTAAGGGGAACAGAGAAGTGACTGGTGCTGGGTGGCCATGTCTCAGCTCTTGGAGCAGACAGGCAGGTGGAGGCTGGAGAAGAGACCTGGCCCCATGGGAAATCAGGGTGGTGAGAAAAACTGCATTGGAAAGGCAGCCGCCCACCAAGGCCCCACCTGATAAAGTGCACCAGATGCTGGCTACTGGGGAAGGTCCCCACGCTCAGTCCCACGGATTCTCCATCTTTTTGAACTGCAAAACAGTAAACCAGAGCAGCTGCAATTTTGAGGGGGCGCCCTGCTGCAGCTCAATACCACTCCCTGCCTCACTCCACAGTCTGTTCATCTCCCACGCCCAGCTCTGCACATGCCGTAACTCCGGCTGCTTTCTTCCTGTGGCTCTGGTAACAAGAACCGGTCTGACCTCACTTGGGTTTTCTGTATTTCTTCTCCTTGGGATCACAGAGGATGTGATCATCACTGTTGATGTCAGTGGGCCCAGGGAAGGAGGCAAAGACCTTGGGACCTAGGTGGACGTGATTCCCTCCTTCCCAGCAGGGCCACCCGCAGCTGAGCAAAGCTGATGGGGATGACTGGGGACGCCAACCCCACCCCACGGGTCCTCTGCCACTGCCCAGCACAGCAAAAACTAAGGACCGCTTCCCCTTCCAGAAGCAAGAGAGAAAGTGAGCAGCATCTGAACTAGAGAGGTATTTGTCTGAGAGTTTCTAGCAGGAATGTCTGTGAAATAACTGGGGTGTGCAGAACCTGTTGTGGGAACACCCACATGGGGTGGAAGGGGAAGCCTCCCGTGCCAGCAGAGAGCGAGAGGAAGAAAGAAAGAAAACACCAAAAACTGCTCATCAGTGGAAAGTCTAAGGACCCCACTAGCTCTGCCACCTTCCTGGCTAAGTGTTTCCCCAGCGCCATGGGACCCCCTGCCCTGGCCTTCCTGGCTCACTCAGTGAGCAAATGCCACCCTGTGCAGCGGCACCTCGAGCCTGCTTCATGCTCCACCCGCCTCTTCCAGGCTCCCGTCCTCGGACACCAGGCCTGGTGAGGTCCTGCATCCCGTCCACACCCCCTCCTTCCCACACGCTCTGAAGGCGCTGGCACGCCCCATCCGAGAGCCTCCTGGGTGTCACACGGTGGTGTGTCCTGATTGAGACTGGACAGATGTCCTCTCTTCCCACCCATCCCTCACCCTCGGGGAAAAAAAATTCAAACCATTAAAGAAATCAACACAGTAAAAAGTTACAAATCAGAAATCTAACCCTAAACTTATCTGAGAGATAATATTCCTGAATAATCGTAGAGTAAAATAAAATAAAAAAGTTACATTGTAAGGTATAAAAAGCCTGGGCGAGATGCTCCAGGGGCCTTGGCCAGAGGCCGGCAGACCCCCACCCCGCCAAGTGCCCTGTGGTGACCACGGACGCAGCAGCCCCCGCTGGGACAGTATCTCCATGGAGGGGGGCACTCTGCTCCCCACGGCATGTGGGGACAAAGTGTCAGTGTGAGGAAGGGCAGGGGCAGAAGCCCATCAGTGCCGGGGAGGGTTCCTCCTGAGAGCACCCCAGCCCACCCTGTCGTCTTTGGCAAATAGGCATATGCAGATGCAGGAATCCAGGTGCCCCAAGCCCCAGGTCTCTGTGTGCCTCCTCCTCCCTGGCACTCCACCCACCGAGAAGTCCGAGGCTGAGGCAGGGCAGGTGGGGTGGGGCAGGCTGGGGTGGGTGGGTGCAGAGGTCACGTCTGGAGAGTGCAGGCAGGTGACACAAAGCTCAATCCTCTTCCCTCCACAGGGCAGCGGGGTGGGGCGGGCACTCCCGGCCAGCCCGCTCACGCGTCATACTTCTTACCAGTCCGGTGGATGTGCTGGAAGAGGGTCATGGAGAAGGCCATGCCCAGAATCTGAAAGACACGGGGAAGGGCCTGAGGTGGGAGCCGCAGCAGCCTGAACCTGACCTCGGCCCTAAGGGGCTTGGGAGGTCACAGAGCACCTAGAGCAAGTAGGGAAGGCGACTGGCGTGCCAGGAAATGCTTGCGGAATGAAGAAAATGGTGAACAGAGGTCACCCTGGAGCCCTTGCTTGAGGCCACACGCAGATGAACTCTGGCTCAGCCTCTTGGGGCTGTTTGACCAGAAGCCATCAGACCTCTGCAAGACGCACAAGCATGCCCACTCAAAGGGGCGCTGAGAGCACAGAATGCACGAGGAACTGGCCCCAAGTGGGGACTCACAGGAGCTAAGGTGCAGAGTGGGAGGTGGCAGGGATCACTCAAGACTCATGCCAGCCGGGCGCGGTGGCACATGCCTATAGTCCCAGCTACTCGGGAGGCTGAGGTGGGAGGATCGCTTGAGCCCAGGAGTTCTGGGTTGGAGTGCGCTATGCCGATCAGGTGTCTGCACCAAGCTCAGCATCAATACGGTGACCTCCAGGGAGCGGGGGACCACCAGGTTGCCTAAGGAGGGGTGGACCGGCCCAGGTCGGAAACGAAGCAGGTCAAAACTCCCGTGCTGATAAGTAGTGGGAATGCACCTGTGAACAGCCACTGCACTCTAGCCTGGGCAACATAGCAAAACCCCATCTCTTTAAAAAAAGAAAGAAAGAAAGAAAGAAAAATAAAAAAGACTCATGCCAGCCAGGCACGGTGGCACTTTAGGAGGCCAAGGTGGGAGGATGGCTTGAGATCAGCCTGGGCAACATAGGGAGACCCCGTCTTGATTTTTTTTTAAATTATTTTTAATTATTCAGGTGTGATGATGCATATGCCTGTGGTCCCAGATACTTGGAAGGCTGAAGAGGGACGATTGCTTGAGCCCAGGAGTTTGAGGCTACAGTGAGCTATGATGGCACCACTGCACTCCAGCCCCGGCAACAAAGTGAGACCCTGTCTCTTGAAAAAAAAAAAAATAGACTCCTGCCAAGCCACTCCTGTCCGGTTGTGGAATTCATGGTGCAATGTCTTGGCAGCAACAGGGCTGTTTTACCAATGCTGTGTGCTCAGGACGATGTCACTACTCATGTCCCTCCACTCCTGAATCCTGAAGGGAGCCAGGGACCCGGAGGAGTGCAGGAGGCAGAAGGAAGCCTGCTGTGGTCTCACAGTCACCACAGATAGTGTGCCATCGGCACAAGCTGTAAACACGGTGACGGGGGGACACCTTGTGTGCCTTGCGTGGCTTTCCGGGCTCAAGGTTTGGGCAGAACTGGGGGAACCCATGGGGGCTGACTCCAGCTTCAATATCCCAGCCCAGGCCTGGCCACAGGCAGCCCTGAGCACATTCTCAGCTCTCGCTCTCGCATCGGAGCTCTGTGAAAAGGGCGCGGGCACAGCTGCCAAGCTTCAAGTGCCGTGATGAATTCCAGACCCTCCGCCGTGTACCAACAGCGCTTTCACTGGTCTGTGCTTCCTTTCCTCCTCGCTGAGGCCCACAGGGAGGGCGGGGCCCCAGGGGACGCCCCTCTTACCTGCATGATGAGGATGCACATCCCCACCGTGCCCAGCACGTGCTTATTGTCATGGAACCACAACTTCACCTTCTCATAGCAGCCCTGGGGAGCGAGGCCCACGAGGTTAGGGTCCCAGCCCAAGCGTGCGCTCCCTGCAGCCCGGCTCCCACCTCACTGTCTCCCTCACCCACCTCGCCCTTGCTCTTACCTCCCAGCACTCCCTGGCCTCAGCCCTGTCCCCCTCCCTTGGCACAGCCTCTGCCCCACCTGCAAGGCCAGCTGCGCAGCCTCAGACCCCATTCAACCCCTCACCCTCTGACTCTCCTAACTGTGGGTCCAGCCGCCCCCCATTTTCCACCTGCCTTTCAGCTTTATTTTTGTAAGTCCCTACCCCACCCCACATTCGGCCAACCTCTTAGTGTCCCAGGCCCGGCCTCCCCGTATCTCCTTGTGTCAGGGCATCCACACATGGGCTCTCGGACCCAAGCAGCCCACCCCCAGCCTCACCGTTCTCCACACAGGGGTGGTGGCGTTGCGCCCGCAGCCCTGGGAGTTCTCCATGCAGCAGCGGTCAGGGACCGTGTTCTCCCCCAGCACTGGGTACCAGTCAGTGTAGTCGGTGACACCGCAGCATCGCATCTAGCCCGCGGGAACGGAAGGGGCGGTCAGACCTGCAGGGGCCTGCCCCTTCCTCTCCAGGGTCTTCCCCCGCCCAGGCAAACCCCAGCCCCCCAAAAGTGGCCACCTGGAGTTAAGGGAGGAGACAAGGGCCCGCTTCTTTCCCCTTCTTTGGGCTTCAGCTGGGCCCACTGGGGAAGTGAGTGAGCGCTCCTTCCTGGAGACCAGGGCGGGAGACGGCAATGCAGCCTGTGCTCGCCCACTCTGCTCTTTCTGTAAATCATCCCAAGCTGCCTGTCACTCCGCCCCCCGCCGGCCCCTCCCCAGGGCCTAAATGGGCACATCTGGGAGTATGGACTTGTTTTCCTCTTCGAGCAAGAGCCTCCCCTCACCTAAGCCAAGCCTCGTCAGGAAGGCAAACCTGTTGCTAAAATAAATTCAGTCATTCATCCCGAAGCTCAGCCACAGCTCTCCTAGGCCTGCCCCTCCTGTGTCCTCATCCCCCTCTGGCTGCACCTTGCCGTATCACATCTGACTTGGCAGTTCAGGCAAATGCCCCCATGGGTACCACCCGACTCCCGGTTAAAATCCAGAAAGCACAGGCACCCGGCCGGGTCCCCAGGAAGGCAGCTGCAAGCGCTGGCCACCACCCCTCCTCCCTGCCGGCCCCCCCAGCGTGGCTGAGCGCACACCTCGGCCTGGATGATGTTCCAGGCGTTCTTCAGCCCCACATTGTTCTCGTTGTGGTACAGCAGCAGGCCTTCCTTCAGGTCCTTCTTGGCGTTCTCGTTCACCTGCCAGGCGGAGGGACACAGCAGGACGCTTGGGACCAGCACGCAGCTCGTCTCTCAGGCCCACCTCAGGTCACCCAGGAGGGTGGGTGACAGATGCGGGGTGGGCGGAGGAAGGCAGGGGAGGCAGCTGGTCTGGAAGGCCTTGCCCAAGGGGGTGGGGGCTCTGCTGGCCCAAGAGAGGCACAGAGGTAGGCATATGCTCTCGGCTTCAAACACAGCAGGCCTTGATGCACCCACCACCTCCCAGCAGAGCTAAACTCAGGGCCCAGGGCATAATGCCCAGAGGCAAAAAGCACGCCACGTGCCTCCCACTCCCCCATCCCAGGACCAGCCACACACACGGTCCACTCTGCCACCCCCATCCCCCCACGACACAGCTTCCCCACAGACTGCCCCTCTCAAAACACACCCTGGGAACTGCAGGAAAGAAGACAGGTCATGTGACCTTGCACCTCCCTCCCCGCTGTTTTATCTGATACTGAAGAGCAGTGTCTACTCCTGGGGCTGTTGTAAGAATTCTGGGAAACAATTCTCACAAAAGGGCCAAGACAGAGAAATCTCTGGACACTGTTCTTTCTTCCCTTTCACAAGCACAAAACTAAAAAATGCTTGTTTCCCATCCTAACGATGTCTCTCACTTTCAGTGTGGCTCAGGCAGCTACTTCAAGAACGAATCCTTACAGAGTTCTGTAGTGCAGGGTACCCCAGGGCCTGCCACGCCCGAGACACCGAAATCCCGGCCAGTCTCACTCGACTGTGAAATGCCCGGCCTGGCGAGGTTCCAGGGGTCACCCACCACCCTCCTGAACCCAGGAGCAGCGCCCGTCCTCAAGGGCTCTAGAGCAGGAAGTGGAGCTTCCCTGAGCTGGCGGTCCTGCTCAGCCAGCGTCGCCCAGAGAGTGCCTCCTTGTTTCTGGTGGGTTGCTCTCAAATCACCCAGCCCAACCACCTGGTGAGGTCGGAATCCCTTCTCCAAGCAGCTTAGTTACTTCCAGTGACAGGGAGCTCACTAGCGCCAGAGGTAGCCCCCTGCCATTTCTGGTCCTGCAGAGGACTCCACTCCCTGGGACGGTACACAGCCAACTTCCCCACCCTCCAACCTTGTCTGCCCCACGCTGCCCCCATCAAGACCTTCCCTCTGGTCTTTCCTTGGTGGCTTTCCCAACCCTCGGTTCCATCCTCCTCTCTGCCCTGGTGCCGCTCGCCAGCACTCTTCCTCTGGCCAGAGAAGGGACCCTGGCCTGCTTGGCCCTACCCCAAGGCCAGTGCCATTCCCTGCCCCCCACCCCCCATCTGGTCAGGCTTACCTTGTCCATGTAGACAAAGAAGAGGATGAGTAAGATCAGCTCTGCTAGGAGGATGGCCAACAGGACGATGAAAAACTGGAAAGGAAAGGCCCAGGCATGGGTAGGTGGTCATGGGCACGGCTGAGGACAAGAAGAACGTGGGAGGCAGGGACAGGTGGGGCTTCCCAGGTCTGGGAGAGGCCAGCTCCTCCCAAGGAGACCCAGAGAGCTAGGACAGGGACATAAAGGAGCTGAACTAACCCGGAAGTGGAGGGGCAACTAGGGGCATCCATAACCAATCACGAAGAGGAGGGGCGTGGTCGGGCCTGGAACATTGTAGAAGCAGGTTCCCTGGGCTCAAGTTGGACATTCAGATGGCTGATGTTCCAGGCCTCGCCTGTCCCGGGGGCCCAGGTACCAGATCGGGAGTTGGAGGGGCTGGGATTCGAACACAACTTACACTGAGGAGGAGGCACTTGTTTTCCTTGATGGCCCCCAGGCAGCCGAGGAAGCCCGTCACCATGACAATGGTGCCTATGGCGATGACCAGGTTGGCTGCAGACAGCGAGGGGAAGCTGGGGGAGAAGGTGGCAAAGTTGCCTTGGGACACGGAGAGCCAGATGCCTACTCCAAGCAGCCCACAGCCACAGAGCTGGAGAGGAAGGAAAGCCCGTTAGCCCGGCACTGCTCTCACACTCCTCCACGGACCCGGGGACACCGCAGTCCCCACCCCGTGCCCTGAGACACAGACAAGGTCAGAATCCACAAGGTGAGAACCAGGCTGCCGTCAGGCACGGCCACAGACCCGAAGCATGTCGGCTGTGTGACCCGGACAGTCCCCTTGCCGTTCTGTGCCTCAGTCTCCCCGCGTGACCTTGGAGACCGCATCAGCTTCACGAGCCTCCCAGGTCACTCTGAGGATCAATCAAACCACACAGAGACAGAAGTGTGTAACAAATCCGTGAAAGGTACTGGGCACATGTGAGCGGCTGAGGTTACTCCGTGTGACGGAGAAGAATCTCTGGTGACCAAGCTGGAGGCCGGGCGAGAGAGGAGCACTGGGGTCGGGAAAGCAAGGAAGACTTCATCTCTAGAGGCAGGAAGAGACCCTTGGAATCAGGTTTCTCAGAGCCAGAACTTCCCAGCGGCTGTGTCCTGTTACTCTGACCCAAAGGGCCATTTGTCTACTGGAGTCTGAAGAACAACTTCCCACAGGTGGAGAAAGAAGGCACTGGTCAGCTGGCCAGGGACCTGGCCAGCGTGCGGGACATGGGAGTCCCTGGCTGCCCTCGCCATCCATCCAATAAGCCAGCCTCGGGTGGATCGCCTGAGGTCAAGAGTTTGAGAACAGCCTGACCGACATGGTATAACCAACATGTCTCTAGTAAAAATACAAAAATTAGCCAGGCATGGTGGCATGAGTAGTTCCAGCTACTTGGAAGGCTGAGGCAGGAGAACGGCTTGAACCTGGCAGATGGAGGCTGCAGTGAGCCGAGATTGTGCCACTGTACTCTAGCCTGGGTGACAAAGTGACACTGTCTCAAAATAAATAAATAAAACAAAATAAAGCTGGCCTCCAGCATGATCAGCACCAAAATCAAAAAAGTGACTCTCTCCCCAACAGCACTCCTGGGGCTGCCGGCGCCGCCAGCTCCACCTGGGGAAGCCTCTCTTTCACTGGCTGCGAATCTCCACATCTGCCTTATTTTATGCTCGATATAGCTGGCACTCCCCCACTCCCTCCGCCAGCTCAGGAGAAGTTTGCCGAGTCTGAGGAGCCAATCAATCAAACAGTATTGATTGAGTGCCTACAGCATGCAGTGTGCCATGCCAGAAAAGCTACAACCACTTTAGAGACCTGTTTTCCAGGGGCCTCTGTTCTGGCTGGATGGGAGCAGTACAAGTACAACATCTAGCACTCCCAGGTGGGATGGACTGGTGCCCAATCAGTGCCATGGGCGTTCAGAGGAGGCCATCACTCTGACAGTCACAGAAGCCCGTTGAAGGAGGCAGTCCCTAAAGGGTAGGTGGACTTGGGGCAGATGGAGGACGAGAACATTCCGTGCCAGGTGAAAGTGCAGAGCGTAAGGGCTTGGGAGTCACAGACCCGAACAGGTTATCCCAGCTCCAGCTTATCCTGGTGACGTGAGCTTGCAAACCTCTCGTATGCAGAGTGAGAATATCATCCCCTTCCTATGGGAGTGTTGTGAGAATTAGAATGACGTAAAGTACGTGAAGTGGGTGGCCAGTTCTCGGGCACTGCTTGCTGGAAAGGTAGTTCCTGGGCAGCCATTCCATGCCAGGGCCTGTGCCGACTGCGCTGACTCCAGGAATCAGCCCAGCCCCTGCTCTCAAGCTGCTCTGGCTGCTGGGAGGAAACAGGCTCAGGGCTGAGACAAGGTCGCCCGCAATCAGGCAGGGTGGTGATGCCCATGGGAAGGCGAGAGGAGGGGACAGACGCTTCCCTGAGAAAGGGCATCTCCTTCACTTATTCCTCCACAAACCCAAGTGAACACCTGCATATTTAGCCCCAGGCCCTTCTCCAAGCTGGGAGACGGCATATACCTCACTAGCAAAGACCCTGCCTTCACAAAGAATAGGGTCTTACAGGAGATACCGACCTTACGTAAGCAACAAATAGCATAACTTCAGCTGCTGACATGTCGCGCACAGAAAAACAAGGCTAGGTAAACAGCCAGAAAAATAACTGGGGAGTGGGTGGGCAGGGAAGGCATCTTAGAAGAGGTGGTATTTAACCAAAAACCCAAATAAACATTCTTCCCCCGGATAGTTATGCTACTATCCGGGGGAAGAATGTTCCAGACAGAGGGAACAGCAGGAGCCAAAGCCCCGAAGTGGGAAGGAGCCTAGGCAGCCAAGGAGGAGCACGCTGGCTGTGTGGCACAACAGTGAGTGAGGTGATACATGGCAGGAGACAAAGCAGGCAGGGTGGCTGGGGGCCAGGCCAGCTGGAACCCTGCAGGTAAAGGAAACGTGTGGGCGTCCTCAGTATGATGGGAAGGCCCCAGAGCTGGAGAGTGATGCGATCGGATAGAGGTTTTCAGCAGATCACTTTGGCTCCTGTTTGGAGGACAGACCGCGGGAGGGCCCTGGGGAGGCCAGGAGAGCGACTGGGAGGCGGCTGTGATTAGGTGGGAGCTGCGACGACTCATAGCTCATAGCAGGAGGCTACGGAGGATCGGTGAGAATGGTCCAATTTGAGATGTTCTGAAGGTAGCATTGACAGGCCTTGCTGGGCTTTGAAGAATCAGTAGGATTTTGATAAATGGGGAAGCAGAAAGGTGGTCTACACTGTGCATGAAGAAAAAGGTGGGGACAGACACCTCCATGTATTACTAATGCAGAGACAGTGCAAGGAGCTGGAGGGGGCTCCGAATGAGGTACGTCCAGCAGTGGCCCAGGTCCTCCACACTGTGGAGAGTGGTCCTGCGCCTTCTGTCCCCTGGCGCAGCCCCACAAGGAACCAGGTCAGGGCTCCCAAGGAATGAGCACACTCAGATCCACAGCATGGGCCCAACTGGGCTATCACAAAGCTTCGCCCCCGAACGGGGGCTAGCCCCGCTACAGCCACCAGGTGGCGCTCCAGGCTGGTTCAGACGCTCTGGGTTCGCCAGTGACGGCTGAAACTTTCATCCAAACAGTCACTCTTGACTTTTCTTCAATCTGGTCAGCTTCTATGCTGCCGTCTCAATTTTTCTTTCATTAATCATACCGTGGAGAATTTATGATCTTCATGCTGAAGATTTATGGCTCTAAAAGCCAGATCCTGGAATGAGTAAGCGGAAACCCCGCTGCCACAGGCACTTGCGGCAGGAAGAACTGCGGGGTGCCCCCCACCCACCGCAGCTGGAGACACACAGGACCCCAGAGCTCAGAGCCTGGACCCTCCCGGGCCTGGAAAAGTTCTCAGAGTATACCTTTCTCCTGAAGCCATTTCCCACTGTGGGTGTGCCTGCAGAAGGGGGGTACCCTTCTGAGCCCCTCTACTTCCCTCGTGGGGGAAGGGCTGGAATGCTCAGGAGCCTCTATGTAGGAAAACCTCTAAAGTCAGAAACTCCCAGGAACTGGTCACCTCTCTGCAAACTGGTTCTCTGACTTCGCACTCGAGAGCCACCCAGAAGCCTCCTTCTACCTCTTAGGGAACACAACTGGTGCCCTGTCCCCAAATCTGCTTCCCTTCCCATTTCCTGTCCAAAGTCCTACAGGGCCCAGACCAGGCCCCAAGTAAGATCTGTGCCCTGCCCTTCGGTGGGGGCAGTCTGGACCTGAAGCCTTCCTCTCCAAGCCCTCAAACCTGTTCCCGCCTCCATCACAGCCCCCTCGCCCAGCTCCACACGTGGTGCACGTCTGCCGAGCGAGGAGGCCCATACAGCAGAGTGTGGTGCCAGGCACATCCCCACTGCCATGCTCCCATCCCCCGAGGGCTCCCGCCAAGATGAGCCCTCTGCTCCCATCTTCTGATGGCCCAGCACTAACAGAGCCTCCAGGCAGGAAAACACAAAGATCATGCCTGGATTTTCCATAAAGCTAAGGCAGAACACGGAAGTCCCCAGTCACACTGCCAGGATGGGACAATACTTTGGTTTCTGGCATTCGGGTGCAGAGGCCTGTACTACCGCCCAGGAGACCTCCGACTGACAGGAGACAGGCACCAGGACAACCCACCTTCGCCCTGGGTCCCATGTCCAGTAGCCCCCACTGCCCTCCCTGCCCCTGGCCTCTGGTTTCCAGCCCAGCCTGCAGAGAGCTGCCTGATTCCTTTTCCTACAAAGCCTCTCTCATCATGGGCTCCCTGGTGTGACCTTAAGATTCTTTAGCTCTCGGAGGCCCGATTTCCTTTAAAATTCAGGATTTGGACAAAGATCACTTCTCAGGTTCCTCCAGCGCAGTCTTAGCTGAGTCTGAGACATGATGCTCCTAGCCCCCGGCCCAGTGGTTCCCACTGAGGAGCAATTCTGCTCCCAGGGAACATGTGGCATGTCTGGGGACATTTTTGGTCGCCACAACTCGGCGGGGGCTGATCCTGGCATCTGGTGAGTAGAGGCCAGGGATGCTGCTAAACACCCTACAGCTCATAGGACAGCCCACACAGTCAAGAACTGTCCGGCCCCAATTGTCAACAGAGTTTGAGAAATCCTACCCCCCATCCAGGCACCCACACTTGGGGTGTCAACATCGTGAGAACAGCCATGGGAGGAAGAACCTGGTGTGTTTCCTCCAGCGGTAGGGAAGCAAGAGCCAATGACAAGGATGTCCCCAGGGTGCTGGGGAGATTCCAGCTGGTGAGTTGGGGAGAGCCGGCCTGGGCAGTTATGAGGCCAGGGAGGGAGCAAGGACAGGAGGGAGGAGGTGACAGCAGAAACAGGCTGGCCATGGTGTCTTGGCAAGCCAGGTCGAGGGTGGGAAGACAGCGAGCTGACCTCTGAAGCCAGTGCAACAGGCAGGGAGAGGGTGCGGCAGGAGCGGGGGAGGGAGGCACAGGACAGGGGAGCCACTCCTGGTGGAGGGAGCCCAGCACAGGAAGGAGGCAAGGCCGGTCCATGGTGGCACAGCCAAAGCTCCAAGCCGGAGAGCTTAGCTGGTGGCATTCGGGAAAATTCCCTTCCAAAATCAGAGGGTTGTCTCAGCTGA